ATACTATAATATACAAAAAGCCTATCTTTTCCCTATACTATTCTGATCACTGCTTTTATTCTCTTACAATATCTGTGCCCACTTTGTCTTGGAAACTGGACCGATGATCTTTGTTTCCTAACTCCCTGAGATACCTTTTATTACTAACTTTCCCAATTAGTGGGTACATTTGCCATTACAAAGTTAGATATGTAGAAAACTCCAACTTTGACATTTTTTCTAGGGGCCTAATGCTCCTATTATAAATATATTTCCCACAAATTTGATAGAGTATGTCTTCTTATACCACAGTGTGTGTTTCTTGGTCTTAAATCACAAATCTCTTCTGATATTTTTGTACCACTTAACCCTTTATGGTGAATACTAAATAACAAAGTTCCAATTTTGAGACTAAGAAATGACCCAGTTAGGACACAGACTATTCAGCAGATTTTTTGTTGCTAGATAAAAGCGGGTTGCATGAATCCATCATGGAAGCCTCAAAAATGTCAACTTTCAGGAAACTTCTATAAGGAAATTAATTCCTCTGATTGCTTCTTCAGAATGTATTAGCAGATGTCTGTTCTCTTGAGATGTCCCGGCACTTACAGAAACTCACAAAATACTTATTAGTAGGATACATATATGATCTGAGGAAAATAAAAAGAAAATTGGCTGTCTCAGGTCTGAATGTCCATTACCAGTCCCAGTTAGGTCGATAGCCTCTCACTGCAGTGGAGAATTATGTCCAAAAAAGAGTACATAAATACAACAAAGAATATGTATGGGTCTTCGCAAGCATCCTAATTCCATGACACATTTTCCTTATGCTTCTAATTCTGTCAATGATTTCTTTCACAAAGGCATATACCTTATCACTACCCCAACATTTGAATTCCTGTCTTGAGTAGCTGAGGTGATATAGCTGCTCCACTTCCAATTTAAACATTTTTCACCATCATTTAATCAAGCTTTTAATCCTTTATATGCTCCTCTCAAGAAAATAAAGTTCAGAATATCTGATTTGATAGCCTGTATCAGTACATTTAGCCTGCTCCTGGATGAAGAGATAGTGTGAGGGTTAATGTGCTCCTTGCTTTGCCTTAAACATAATCAAAAAATGCTTTTATCTTTGTTTGCTTATTTGTTTTTTATTATTTTTGGTTCAGGATGTTCAATATTTTTATTGGGAAGGTAAGCCTGGAGTATTTTTTTAACTGTTCAGCAACTTTGGGGCGTGGACACGATTGCTGAGGCTTTCAGAAGTACAGGGAGGTTGGGAGAGGTAGTCCCTCCGAACCCAGAAAAAGTCTGGAGATTTCAGTCACAAAAGTCACATATCCGAATTGTTGAGCAAATTGTATCTCTGCAAGGTATGTCCCAAGATGGTGGAGTCCATCTGGGAGCATGACCGCAATTCTGGGTTGTGGAAACAAGTGGTTGCTAAGGGCTCTGTTTCGGTAGGCACCAGGCTGACACACCAGTCTCTGATTTACTCCAGTCTGTTCAGCCTTATGTAGGTCCAAGATTTTGGTTTTGGATGGTCATAAATAAATCATATGCATTTACCTTATTAACATTTTAAATTTTATTTTATTTTGGTGGTGGCCATGCTTAAGGATTATTCCTGGCTCTGCACTCAAGAATCACTCCTGGTGGTGCTTGGGATTAAAAAAAAAAATGTAGCAAAACTTCTGTGTGTACATGTAAATTATGAATGCATGCATTTTATGACTGGGTATTCAGTAATAATTTTGTTATAAAACCTGAGGAACAGCAAGCATCTAGGTATGAGAAAACACTGAATGACCAGCATATAGTAGGATGGAACTAGGGTCAATAACAAGCTTGTTATAAATTTTTCTTCAAAATAAGCTAAAACTCATATTTGAAACTCAAATTAATCTATGAACCTATTATTAGTGGGTTCAATTAAATTTTTAGCTGAACCATATAAATTTTGGCATTTCACTGGGTTTTAAAGATGATATTGGTGGAGGGATGGGTACTTGATCATTGTACTACTGAAACCCAAGCACAAAAATTTTTAAGTCTACAACTGTACCTCATGGTGTTTCACTAATAAAAAAAGAATATGCATATGTATATATGTATATATATACATATATATTAACTCATACACATATAAGGCTCCGTCTGTAACAACATGTTAGTGATATCTTATACAAGGGCTTAATGGTTCCAGAATGAGATATAATAATCTTCACATACTTTCCTCTAAGGAAACTCTTTGATCATTTTTAATGGGTTAATCATAACAAGCAATACAAAATAAATTAGTTAGGTCCGATTTGGGGGGCAGACTTTAGAGACAGGGGGAATTCAAAATAATGTGGTTGGAAGGTATAATGGTGGTGGTATTGGTGTTGGAATATTGAATGTATAAATTATTTTGAACAACTTTATAAAGATAAAATTTTAAAAGTAAATTTAAAAAGTAAATAACACAAATATCAAAAGGCTGGAAAGCCAGTATACATAGGTAAGGCACTTGCTTTGCTTGTTGCCTACGCTGGTACCTTCCCTGGAAGATACGGTTCCCTGAATCTTGCTGGCAGTGATCCCTGAGTACAGAGGCCAGAATAAGTCCTGGACACAGCTGGATGTGATCCAAATAGTAAAGAAAACTCAGACTCTCAGTGGTGTTATTTTCATTAGCTATTTTAATTGGTCTAGTTTTAAAGACCCTATGGGAGTAGCGATAAATTTTAAATATATGAGACATTTTTAGTCTTGAAAAGTGTGGATATTTTAAAGGTGGGTTGAAAGTCTGATAAAACTTGTTGTTTTCTCACTTCTAAAATTTTTACTTCTATATTTTAATTAACATTAAATATTTACAAATTAATGAAATATTATTCTTTTACCATAAGTTGCCAACTAATATTAAGTATGGAAACATACATTACTAAATAGAGATGTTGATAGAATCAATATGAAAGTAAATAAGAATATTGTCACATTCTCCCCTTTAAAAATAACTTGAAATTTTCAAGAGAATCCTGATAATTTTTAAGTGGAAGGAATATGAAATAATTTTCCTTAACTAATATTTTAATATTTGAAAAAATGAGGTAATTTGAAGAGCATACAGTGTAAATAGTTATGATTATTATTTTGTTCCACATTGAGAATGATATAAAAGTTGTATATGCTTTGTGTTATGTACTTATGACTTATCTTTTAGGATGTTGTAGTTATTCAGTTAAAATATTTTGTTTAGCAATTGAAGTCATATTCATAAATATTACGAATTAAAGAATTAATTTTGAATTATGCCTTTCTTTAAAATGGTGTATTAGATTTGAATTTAATTGTTTTTTCATGTAAAAATCTTTTACTCCTCTTTATAAGTGAGGGATGCTGCATTTGAACAGTGTCTATTATTTTAGTTCTCTGCAAAATCAGATATACACACCTTAGAAGACACTTAACAATTTTCTTGAGTCTGATTCAATCCCAGACAGGAAAATAACCAGACCCCTCATGTCTCAGGTATTTTAGTGTTAGAGGGAGAAAAAACATACAAAAGGAATGAGAAAAGAGAGATCTGGGGTAATAGGAAGCCAGAAAGTGCCTCTAAGAACATGTCACAGCATCTTTCACACAGTTTCAAAACAGTCATGAGCATGAGTGAGCACCTATTAGATTTTTTTCTGAATTTATTTACCTCACACTATTTAAATAATGTAATAGCAGCTTAGTCAAAATCATTTTTACTTTCTATTTTACCAATTGTTATTTAATACTGCACTCATAGACTTTCTTCTTGAAATTTCAAAATTCTCCAGTTGTGTCTTAAAACATGACAATGTTATAGAGTTTCTGTAGTTCTTATTATCTAACAAAAATATATATGCTTGTCTATATTGTTTTATAAATTAATATATATTATCTATTTCAGAAGGTTTTGAGAATAATCACATATTACAATAATTCAGTGTTCATACTTATTTTTGAATTATTTACTCCAACATGGGAATGAAATTATTTTACCTAAAGAGGAAGAATAATAGAAAAAATACTTGAGGTTAGATTTTAGCAGCATGTAGGGCGTTTGCCTTGCACATGGCCCACACGGCCGACACAAGTTTGATTCCTCTCCCCCTCTCAGGGAGCCTGGCAAGCTACAGAGAGTATCTTGCCCACACAGCAAAGCCTGGCAGGCTACCCGTGATATATTCGAAAAGCCAAACACAGTAACAACAAGCCTACAAAGGAGATGTTACTGGGCCCTCTCAAGCAAGTCAATGAACAATGGGAGGACAGTGCAATACAGTACAGTGCAGATTTTACTAGCGTGATTTCAGAAACCATATCTTCTGTGAATTTCATCCTTATTAATTAAGGAATATAGCCTTCAAAAGAAATTCATCAACTGTCTGCTGCATGATCAGATCATCACATTATCTTGTAATGTATACCCGTGGACTTATAAAGCTTATATCATTTAGATAGATAAATTGAATAATGGTTTCTAATAATCTCCATAAATACAGAGTAACTTACCTTTAATAAAAGCCTTACCACATAGTAAATGTTTTGTTCATACTTGCAAAATATTTTGTGGAAAAGTTTAGAAATTACCTCCTTCCCTTCCCCTCACACACATACCCCAAAAGGGAACTCAGAATTTGGTGGTGGCTTAACCACTCAGAAAATGTTATATTAATATTTCTGACTTATATTTCTGTCTAATATGAGGAATAAAATTAATCTATTTTGTCTAGACTCATTAAAATTGAAAAATAAATAATTCTAAAGCACATCACTTTCATTTAAATTAAAAACTAGTAATAGATATTAAGCATATTGGAATATTTGGAAATCAACCTATATTTTCCAGTAGGGCTCCTTTGAATTCTTCAAATGTGAAATATGAAGTGAGGGAAATGAATGGAGGATAAAAATTATATTTTCTCATAAGCCTAGGTCTCTTTGTTCTATTGAATTGGCAAACAAACCAGAAAGAGAAATAGTTAATTTCATTATTTTCACAGATGGGACATCACAAAAACCAAGCAGAAGTAAACCTCACTGCAAGGACGGAATTTGTTCTTCTGGGCTTTTCTGACATAACCAACTCTCAAATGTTTCTTTTTGTGATATTTTTCCTTGTGTATTTGATTATCGTCTTGGGGAATGGCATAATTATTCTCATAACCATCATTGACCAGTCTCTTCAGACTCCTATGTACTTTTTCCTGGGTAATTTTTCCTTTTTGGAAATCTGCTATGTCTCTGTCACTCTTCCGAGAATGCTCAAAAACCTTTGGACTCGGGAAAGAAATATCTCTTTGCTGGCTTGTGCAACCCAGATGAGTTTTGTCCTTATGCTTGGAAACGTGGAGTGCCTCCTCCTTACCGTGATGGCCTATGACCGCTATGTGGCCATTTGCAACCCACTGCACTATCCTTTGGTGATGAACCAGAAGTTCTGTCTCCAGCTGGTGGCTGCTTGCTGGCTCATTGGAGTTCCTGCAGAGATAGGGCAGACAAGTCAGATTTTCTCCTTGTCTTTTTGTGGATCCAACCAAATCAATCACTTCTTTTGTGACATCCCCCCCATGCTTAAGCTTGCCTGTGGGAACACTTTTCTAAATGAGCTGTTGGTTTTCTTAGCTGCTGTGGTATTTGTCATGCTCCCTTTTCTGCTGGTTCTTGGTTCCTACAGCAAGATCATCTCCACCATCCTGAAGCTGCCATCAGCAGCAGGAAGAGCCAAAGCCTTCTCCACTTGCTCCTCTCATATCATAGTTGTGACTTTATTTTTTGGATCTGGAATGATTGCTTATTTAAGACCCAAATCCAAAGATTCCTCTAAAGCAGACAAGTTTCTGTCACTTTTCTACACCATTGTCACCCCAATGTTTAATCCCATGATATACACTCTGAGAAATAAGGATGTCATGATAGCCTTGAGAAAATTGCTGCCTTAATTATGTGTTGGCAGCTGAATATAAATTACTCTCATTTCATTTAATGTTTATTTACATTGCATCAATAGAAAATGATGTTTATTCCATTTTTCTATTTCACAATAGATTTATGATTTTTTCTATGTTTTCAAGAGCTCTGCTGTACCATCTCTATGCCCATCTTTGTTGACTTGAACTTTCTGATAAATTTCATTATATCAGGATTATAGCCACCGTTAACCTTGCTAATGAGAAAGTAAGTATTCATCCAGCTTCTTTCATATGCTGTTGCAATTCTCTCATGAATTCACTTGAGATGTCATTTCTTTAAATATAATCATAGTATCTCTTATATAGTAAATAATTTCATGTATATATCCAATAACTAAAGAAAATTTTTGATTTTATATGCTTTTAATTCTTTTTATATCACAGACTTAAAAGTATAATCTATGACAAACCTTGGAGAATTGTTATTAAATTTGTGAATTATAATTTGACATGGGCTGGAGCGATAGCACAGCGGGTAGGGCGTTCGCCTTACAAGCGGCCAACATGGCCGACCCGAGTTCGATTCCTCCGCCCCTCTCGGAGAGCCTGGCAAGCTACCGAGAGTATTCGATATGCCAGACACAGTAACAACAAAGTCTCCAATGGAGACGTTACTGGGCCCGCTCGAGCAAATCGACGATCAACGGGAGGACCTTTACCTTTTACCTTTACCTTTAAAACACTGATTTTGTCTTTTTGGGATTTAGGTGCTTTCTAATATCCAAGGAAAATATGAAATTGTATCAATATGTAGATATGTATTGTACCACATATAATAATCTTATTTCCTCTCTTTTCCTTCCTTATGCCTGAGCTTCTGCTTGAGGGCTTTGTGGCTCAATAATGACTAAAATTGATATTTATTTTAAGATAGTCTTTTCTCATGCAAGAAATAGGAATATACTGTTGCTTTTTAGAGAAAATTATATATGACATCGAATACATAATGTTAAGAATTCATATTGCCTCAATATTAATTCATCCATTTTATGAGAGTTCTTTCCTTTATTTTTCAAGTTTTTAAAATGACAATTGTATGTAGTATACTTTCATACTACATACATCAGGATTGGGACTGGGCCTTCTCCACCCAGATTCCCCATCTTCCAGTAGCTAGACAGTTACACCCACCAACTGCCATGTAACCCCATCAACGGCCAAGATCCAGAGACTACAAAACCAAGCTCCCAGAAGTGCGCAGCCGCAAATGTGGCCGTGCAACCTCTCATTGTCTAGTTCTCGCTCTCAGACAACCCAGCAGGCTAGTGAGAGTATCCTGCCTGCATATATGCTTGACTGGAAACACCTGTAAAGGTGATTAGAGGCTACGCCAAAAGCCTCCATCTCTCTCGGAGAGCCCGGCAAGCTACCGAGAGTATTCTGCCCACACAGTAGAGCCTGGCAAGCTACCTGTGGCGTACTCAATGTGCCAAAAACAGTAACAACGATGGTCCTCATTTCCCTGACCCTGAAAGAGCCCCTGATATGCCATCAGGCTGCACTAGCACGTGACAGGGACAAATGGAGAAGCTACTGGTGCCCACTCGAGCAAAGTGATGAACAACAGGAAGATAGTGATAGTGATAGTGATACTTTTATACTATATGCATATAATAAAATTTAAGTCAAAATGCTTTTATTAGTATCTGAATTATTTGTCAAGTTGTAAAGTTTTGAAAATATCTTACTTAAAAAGAGAGAATAATTCTAATAAATATATTCACCATTAGGAAAAATAAGTCCTGTATTTCTTCAGGTGCTTTACACGAAAATATGACCAATGCTTTTGTACCTATCCTTCAAACTACAGTGGGAAAGAATTAAATCTGTCTGTAGGGTATCAGTTCTTAATTTTTGTATTGGAGACACACCTGGGAATGCTAGACTGTGTCTGTTTATTGCTTCACCTGGTCATACAGTGAGGGGTGCCCTGTTCAACCCAGTGATGCTGGGTACATTCAGTGCCTTAGAGACTGGCACATGGGAAGCATTTACCATATAGCTACCTTGTGAGCTTTCTCTCCAAACACAAAATTGTCGTGGTTTTCAAGTTTGAATCTTCTCTACATAGCATTCTATTTAAATTATAAGTAGCTCTAATTTATCCAGCAGCTGGTATTCTTGCTCTTTCAGGAAGGATCACCAGCTTTACAAAATATTTAAGGACAACAAGCCAAAATCAAAGCACCTTTAATTAAGAAAATGTTAGATGACACTGTTACTGGGAGGGAGTGTTGAGAGCCAAGGAGTGGGGCAGTCACCATTTTGCCTGACTACAAGGACCTCATCTGTGAAGTGTTCAGGGAGGTTAGGAAGCATAAAATCTAGGAATCCTACAGCCAGGGAACTCTAACCTCCTGACCCCAAGCCAGGATTCCCGGCTGGGTCTGTTGCATAAAGGAATTTCTGGAGAGGACAGCAGTGAAGCCAAGACATTATATTAAAACTGAAGGAAGAACCAAAAACAACAATACAGAAAGCTCAATGTGAAAGGAGTTCCCTGAATAAAACAAAAGAATTACAGAATTTGTGTGGGATAAAGGGGACCCCAGCAATGGAATGTGAGACTTTTGCTTTTGTAGAACTGTTTTTCTAGGGTATTTGCATACTGTCCTGCCTTTGGAGTTTTTCATGAAGCTAAGAGTCCATTAATAGGTCCTTAGTAAAGGTAAAAGGACTTTGAACTTTGGGTTGTTAATTTCAGTTTCATCAGGATCTTCTATTTATTTTATTTCTTTAATTTTAAAGATTTTTGACCTGTGTTTATTTTAAAAAATTCTTCTCTGAGTGGTGTGAGACTTCTCCCTTGTGTTGGTGTCACTCCGAGTCTTACCAATCTTCATATCCATCTTTGGTGACAAAGAAACTTCATTTTGATTAGACCATGGTTTCGTTACTTTCCAAATATTTCCCCTATCTAATTACTTACGTTCAACAGTGAATGATGACAATTATGGCTCACATGTTACCTCTACAGAGGGAAAATGAACAGCTGTTAAGAAAAATGGAATGTGCTATCTTGAGATATCATTTCTGTTGCATTTTCTTCAACTGCATAACCAATTACACTTAAAATTTGTAACTTGGAACATGACTTCTTTGTGTTTCATGCAGATGTTTGTCAGAGATTGAGGTTGGGATAAACTGCCTAATTATTCTGCTCCATATACACGACTGTGAACACAGAGATATTTAGAGGGTAACTGGTCTTATTTGATGTGTCTAAATTATAGATAAATATTAAATAAAGTTACAATGATATATTGTAGAAAACTATTCCAAGTCTTATAACTTACATATATTTGGTAAGAATACTTAAATCTTTGGATGACAAATAGAAAAAATAATATCAACTATTAAATAAATCACATTTTGTGAAGTGATTGTGATTGAATTTGAAGTATTAGAATAGTTTTAATACATTTGTAATCAGAGGACAAAAATATTTTCATCAAAGATTTATAAATAAGTTGATGTATTGATTGAACATTAGTGTAGAAAATATATTCTTGGAAGAATCAGACTAATTTAATTATAAAATCATTTTAAGAATAAATAACTTGACCTGTGTTTCACATTAATATGAGAAAAATCATTCTAGATTATTTCTAAACCATAAAAATGAATTTAGCTTCATAATGTGTTAAGCATAAAATGGCTTATAATCATAACCTGAGTCATTTAAGGAGCCATTCACAGTTTGTATTTAAACATGAAAGATTGTGTGCAACATGATATAGGCAGGTAGATGTAGGGCCCTCCTATGGCAATAGAATTCCAGGGGAGTAGTGTTAGGGCACGACTCTGGATCTCCGACCTCAAGCAAGGACCACGCAGGAATGCAATCAGCAAGCAGGTAGTTTATTGAGATGGCTAGCCAGGGTCAAGCCGTATGGCAAGACCCTGAACTTCTTCAAAGGGGATCTTATATAGGCCTTCATTGGCCATTACAGCAAAGCCCACACATTTCATAGCCAATAGATTTGTAACAAAATATACTTTCTTAACCAAATCCATTTAAAGGACATCACTCCTTAGACTATAGATTCAAAGATCAGCATTTACGTACATTGGCATTGTGGCTAGTGTGTATCTGGTAACTCAGACATTTGGTTATTGTCTATGTTTACCTGGCTCCCTTTGATTCTCAGCTCATGGCTCCTGCATTCTGGAGGCAGATAAGGGAAAAGTTCCTAAGAGAGGTAACAGATAAGGAAGGGCCAACAAATGGTTTCAGAATTTACATCCCAATAAGGAAGGGTAAACAAATGGAGACAAAATTTAGATCCCAATTAGGAAGAGTCAACAAATAGAGACAGAATTTACATCTCAAGGCTTTACCAGGGAGGGGACAGATAAGGAAGAGTTACTAATTAGCAGAGTTTAGCACTGGAATTTTTCTCAGGGTCCCTAGGGACCTTACACTAGTAAAAACACCTAGCCTTAAGGCCATCAGGACCCACCTTGTGGCTAGAACAACCAAGACTTGGTAAGACCTTTACATGGAGCTAGCCCAAATCAGAGAAGGCTGGACACACCCTCTAAGAAAAGATTCAGCAGAAACAAAGGTCAAGAAAAGGAGTTTTAAAGAAAGACAACCCCAACTCTACCCCCCTTGGAAACCACCCTAGCAATGGACTTATCTAGTTAGAAGCCCCATGTGGGCACCTGGGAAAAACCTTATAAGAGCCAACTTGAACATGGCAGCATCTGAGTATGCTACCCAAGACCATGTGCTGTTTGTGCCCATGTGGAAGAGCACATGTGTTGCCCAAGCACATGTGTTGCCTGCATCTACCCTCTTGAGATGTGTACTGGGGTTCTCTCCATCTCTGGAGAAGCCCGTGTTCTCTCTAGAGTGCATTACTCATTCCCTTTTCTCTCCCTCCTTTCTCTTTCTCAAAACCTCCAAATAAAATCTATTTTTACTTCACTTCTTCATCTACTCCTGAAATTATTTTTTGTGAGAT